ACATTTTAGTTTCCAAAATCTCAAAGGTAACATTAAAATTAAGATGCCAGTGCCTGATACTCTGTTAAATATTTATATAGAACCGGAAGCAGTTTATTCATTCCTGAAACCCCTTAGTAAGAAGACTGATGGATTTACAAAACATGAGACACTAATGGAGTGTACTGTGAATAGCAGTATGGCAATGGTGTCCTGGTGGAGAGGAGATAAGAAGATTTCTGTATGTAAAACACGTACATCATGTATTGAATCTAATAAAAGTAAATGCACAAATTGAATGAGGCTTAACAAAATTTAGTTGGAATTTGTTGCTTTCTGACACAATACTAATTATTCAATTTATTTATTTGATTATAATTGTTAAAACAAGTGTTGAGTAGTTCTATGCTGAATGGAATGTATATGTGAAGTCTTAATTATGAACTATGGCATTCAATGAATTATTCTGTGATGTTTTTAAAGTAGATGTTTAACACAAAAATAAATACATTTTGTAATATATAAAATGTAAATACATTGCAGCTGAAACTTTTAGGTTATGTTATATATTGCGGAACACATTTAAATGTGGTTTAATTACAGTATTGAATATGGATTCACAAATCTTTTTTTATATAGGATGATGATAAGTATGACACTGCTAAGGAGATGTCTGGAGTTTGTCGACTGACGATTAAAAATTGTGAGATTGAAGACAGTGGTGAATATACTTGTAGAATTGAGAAACAACAAGACAAAACCACAACCTTAGTCACAATTATTGGTAAGTAATATACACATGTGTGACACATTCTGTGCCTCGGAAATACATGGCTTATTTTCTTTTGTTGGCAATACTGCATAGCAGATGCAGAGCTTTAGCAGGATTTTGTATGTTGGACTTTTCTGACTGGTTATTATATTTTTCATATTTCTCCTTGTTAAATTTGGAAGGATGAGAATTTTTTAAGCTTTATAATTTTCCTGCATATTAATAAAAGAACCCATAACTTACATTTACAGTCAAAATAACATGAATTGGCGCAGCCACCAAATAAGAGCTCTGTATAATGAACACATTATTTATGTGAATGTTGTGTCATTTATAATGAATATAATTGAGTATAATTACTATATTTTTGAATATAACAATTTTTTTTAGAATATCCATACAAATTTGTAAAAGTTCTGAAGAGTCAGCAGATAACAGAAAAGGATCAAATAACTCTGCATTGTGAACTGGATGATGCAGGTGGTGAAGTAACATGGCATAAGAACAATGAACCAGTGAAACCTGACAAGAGGTAAGGTTTATATATGTAACAACAACATTCTTATGTTGCAGTGTATTGCATTTAATTGCGATCAGAAAACTTTGATTTGAAAGGCATGTATTTGAGAAATATATTACATACACAATACATTAGACTCGTTCATGATCAGGTTTTCTCCAATCAGTTTACACTTCCAGATTGGGTGTATGGCACATATAAAACAATTTTTATGTTTTACCCTTTCATATTCATGTTGCTACTGCTTGTTATGGTATGCTGCATTATGATGAAAAATTTCAACTGATGTTCATATTTTACCTTTCTCTGTTATGTAGTATGATGTAAAGTCAGGAAAGTATAAAAGGGCATTTGCTTCTGCATATCATGTTTTTGGAAAATGTTAGTGCTGCCCGTTAATGAAGACTTTGAAAACTGTTGTTTAAAATTTACACAATAGGTGTTGGAATATAATGCTGTATTTATTGTTCTGGTATGTGCCGTAGGAAACATGGAAGACTTTTTGATCATACCCAACAGTTAATTGTATGGTAATGTGAAAAACATAAAAATAATTTTATTAATTTTTTTTTAATTCTAGGCTCCAAATAGTTAAAGAGGGTCGAAAGCGAAAGCTTGTTATCAAAGACTGCAAAGTCACTGATGCTGGTATCTACACTTGCACTTCAAATGCAGATAAAACAGAATGTGAACTTGTTATCCAGTGTGAGTATTGTAGAGGTGCTTTTGGAGGAAATGCTAAAGAAGAAGTTGCAGAAAGAATATAAATGCACTAAAATTGTACCTGTTAGTGAGGGGCACACTTTGGAAGCGGGAAAAGCCTAACAATGGGGGGGATGCATTCATTTGAAAGTTACTGCATGCCCAGATTAACGTAAGAAACAGAAACTTGGACATGGACCAAGGCAGATATGAGTATACTAACAGTGCAGAGATTTTATTTTGATGAAGTATAGAAGGAAAAACAAAAGAAACAGGATAAGAAATAAAATTAAAGAGAGACTGTATAGTTAAACACCTTGGAAGACATAACTAACAAACACCAGAAAAAGATTGTATGGACTTACTAAAAAAAATGAAAAGAGTCCCAAAGAAGGTTTTGAACATGGAAATGAAAGGAAATTGTCCAGGAGGAAACCAAGATCAGGATGCAAATAACAGGTTACGAAAGATGTTACACAGAGGGAAGTAAGGTAATGGGAAGAAATTGAGGAAGATGAGGTCTGTAAAGACAGAGATAGATGGAGAGGCTTGGTTGTCAGATGACCCACTTAAGTGAAAATGTCTTGCAAATAAGAAGAAGAGGGAGTATAGAACTGATTCATTAAATCTTGTGGCAACTCAGTTGCAAGTCTATATGTAATGAATATTTTCAATTTTCAGACCAGAACCGGTTCAACAAGAAACTTAAAGACACAACAGTTGTGGAAAGATCAAAGCTTGTTCTTGATGTGGAACTTCAGGATCAAACAGCTCCAGCTGAGTGGTACTTCAATGATGAGAAAATAGAAGAGTCTGAAAGGTACAGAAGAATTTTATGACCCAGTACTTTGTTAAATATTGTCTTTGCCATTTGGTGTTAGTGTTAGTAAATTATTTTACACTGATTAAGTTATGCTAAAAGAATTGTACAAATAAATTATTTAGCCTCCCATTTTCCATTAAAAGACTGGTATTACTATGCCTGATGTGAGAGTTAAGATGCAATTTTAAAATTTTTATGACTCTCTGTCAAAATGTATCAAATTGGATGGGATATAATGGTGGAAGTGCTGCAGTTTATCAAGATACATTTGTGAATATATATCTTTCATACTATGCTGCTTCATACAGTTATATTTACTACATATAACAGATGACTGACCAAGCTGTTATCTACATGACTGTCTGGCATTAGTACCTACACTACCAACAAAAAGGTCTACATTGGACAAAATATAGTGGAGGACTTTGTAAATATTTGGAATATCAAACACCCGTTATTATTTGGCATCAATGTTATAATCTAGGCCTCCTTATGTTTCCCATCATCTACATAGGAGTGCATGGAATTATGTGTATGTGCTCTTATCCCGTACTTGCATCACAGTTCAAGCAAGAAAATAAAATATGTCATTACTGGAGGCAATAGAAACAACAATAAAAATTATTTGTAATAATAGAACCAATGCAAAAGAAGATGGCAGTCTTCTGGGTTGTAACACCGTGTAGTCTGGCAGAAGATTGCCAACAGTTCAGAGGTCCTTCTTCCAGACTACATTTTGCTACAGCCCAGAAGATGGTTATCTTTGTAGTCTGAGGGTGATAACTAATGAACCATTGGTGTTGAACATGTGAAATTATTTTATCAAGCTTGATCACAGATGTCCTTACAAAGTTTATATTAAACAGGCATGTCAGAAGGTTAAAAGTATGCTCAAACAGACTCACTCATATACCTGGTCATAGCTTGTGCATGGATATGAGTGTGAGCTAGTGGTTGGAACAACCATTTGCACTGTTTGGACCTGTCTTTGGATTGGTTGATCTCTGTATTGTTTGATTAGGTTGATTACCAGATCCCAAGCCCAACCAAGAGTGATTTTAACAGAGAAGGGGGCTTCACTCTTGGTTGGGCTTGGGATCTGGTAATCAATGTAAACAAACAATACAGAGATTCACCGATCCAAGGGCAGGCCCAAACAGAGCAAACGGTTGAATCCGCCCACTAGCCACCCATTGGCTCGCGCTCAGATTCGTGCACAAGGTTTTTTTTCATCGTCTATGGTCAGCTTGACCGTCGAGACACCATCGGGTTTTTCTTGTGAAAGTACCATGGTGGTTTCGCCTTGCCTTCCGTGGCCAGTTTTTTTACCCACCAGACTGGAAGAGGGGACAACCATCCATGCCTTGAGTGGGACTGGAACCCGCGGTCGCAGCAGCCAGGCGCACGAGGTCCATGCCTCAAACCGCATGGCCACTGCGCTGTCTCACAAGGTATGGCCAGGTACATAAGTGGGCTGGTTTGACCAGTTATTGACTAGCCTTGATAAGGAGGACAGAGATGGTCCTTGAAACGTTGGTGACTTTTAACCATTTGACACGGCTGATAGCTCAAGAGGATTTTATTAATCACTGCTGCCATGAAAGCTTCACATCATACATTTATTTACTTCTAGCCTTGCCATATTAGGCACCATATATTATTCTAAGAACTTGTAATTTATTTGTTTTCTCTCTTTTATTTTTTAGAGTTGAGATCAAGAACCTTGGTGGTGGCAAGCACCAGCTAATATTTAAGAAAGCTGAGTTGACTGACACTGGGGAGTTCAGGTGTGAATCAGGGAAGCTGCTTTCTACATGTCAAGTTGTTGTGAAAAAGGGTGAAGATAAGCCTGTTATTAATTTCCCTGACCATGTTGAGGGTCCAGTTAGTAAACCAATTGTATTTGAAGTACCATATACTGGTAAGTTTGCCATTGACATACAGTATTCTGTGTCTTACTGTATTTTGAACATTGTGGCAGTTGTAACAGATATTGTTTGATTTGATTTGGTGGCTATAATCCTGTTTATACTTTATTATCAGTCAGAAGTAATATGAATTTAAAACTTTGTTATTTTATTAAGTGTGTTTCTCCTCCCTGTTTTAGTTGGTGGGACAAAGCAGTCACCTGTAGAGGCCAAATTAATAAAAGATGGGAAAGCACTGCCTCTTAAGGAAGTGGAAGTTATTGTTGCTGATGATAAGGCAACATTTAAATTTAAGAAGCCTGCTCGCAATCTTTCTGGGATATATCAGCTCAAAATTTCAAATGCACAAGGAGAAGATGCAAAGAATATTAATATAAATATGCAAGGTAATATAAAACTTTTAATTACAGTTAGTAACATATAAACATAAATCTGTTAACAGCCATGCCTTTTACATTTGGATGGCCCTGTAATAAAAAAAGTTCTTAATTTGCATAAAGTGAATGCTAATTTTTAAACCTTTAGATTCTTTTCTGCAGAAAATTATATGGGATGAAACAACTTCTAGTTAGATCAGTGTTTTACTATGTTATTGCTTGGTTAATTCCACTCACATGGATCAAATATGGTAGAATAGTCACAAAATGCAATACAAAATAAATTATTTGAAGCTCTTGTAACAATAAAAAACATACTCTGAAAAATAGGAACCATACAAAATACAGTAACATAATAATTTTCTAGAGCCAAAAGTTTCCAAAGTGACTAAGTCTAAAACACACATCATCCATAATGGTGGGATTAACACCCCCTCCCCACCAAGGTTGACATGGGCAATACCAATCTCAGACTTTCCCTGATGGATATTGCCTTGGTTGACTGCTGTTGGTTATGAAAGCGACCAAGTATAGAACTTAATTTAGAATACCACATGTCATACAGAATTTAGGAGATATGTTCTTTGTTGGATACTAAACAGAAGTGACTTGAGTTGCCACCAGAGGTAGGGGCAGGTAGGTATAGTATAGAGGAAAGTATGCATGTGTCACAGGGCATGTTTAAATTATATCTGGCAGCTGTAGATTAGTCTCATAAACACAGGTTCCATATATATGACGTGTAGTGAACATTTAAAAGAATTTTTTTTAACTATATCTGCATAGTGTGATTTAATTATCTTTATTTTCAAATTAAAACTTTTTTGTAGAATCTAAAAGACCTCAGTTTTAAATTGGCTGTTTGCAGATGGCTTTTATTAATCTGAAGTAATTGTAGATAAATTTTATTTAGAGTATACTTATTTTTTTTAATTTATGCAGGTAACATATGGAGATTTAAAGTATTTAATATTGTTACATAAATTTAAAAATTGAATGGTTTAAAATTTTGTATTACTCTACACTAGAAAAGACTTATAAATATAGTTCTTAGCAGTCAAGTTAAGGATCGGAAAAAAATTCTGGAAGTTAAAAGTCCGAATTAAACTTTATAACTATTGAACCAGTGTGGCACATAAATAATGTGTACTGACCTGGGCTTGATATCTGTGAATCAAAAGAGATATGTTTGTAAAACAGCATAATCATTGCCTCATTCCCACCCTCTAATTCATAAAAGGACAAAAATGCATTGTTGTTCTTGTACAGCTGACAACTGAATAATGCCAGTGCTGTTACGAAATCATGAATTACTATGAAAGAAGCTCTCATTAATAAAATTTACTTGAGAAATATTTTGTACTTTTCAGCTTTTTGATTGTAGTATGGTATTCAATTTTAAAATCTGTCAAATGCTGTGTGAGGATCAAGTGAACTTAAAAATGTAGCAAATCAAAAAGTAAAATTTCAGAACATTAGCTTAGACATTTAACTACTGCAAGCGTATGGAATGATGTATGAAAAATTTATACCCTGTGTTCAGAACTTCAAGAAACTTTACTCATCTAAAATGTGTGTTTAATGTTTCACAGATGTCCCATCTGCACCATTGGACATCAATGTAACTGATGTATTCCAGACTTCATGTGTTGTCCACTGGAAACCTTCTAAAGATGATGGCGGTTTGCCTATCCAGCATTATGTAGTTGAGCGCCTTGATATGGGTGTTAAAGGTTTGTTTCAGTTTTAAAGTCAAGATTTACATTTTAAATTGAAGTCACATAGAATACAGAAAGTGTTGCTTGAATATCCACTAGCCATCTTTCCATTAAACTTATCTGGAATTAAAACTTTTAAACAGATACAGTAGCTCACAAAGTTTGATGTTCTTGCCTCTTATATTTCATTACCTGGACATACTGTTTAAGTGAACTTTCTAAGTTAATGTAAGATGTGAAATTTAAATATCAATTTCTGAGGTATTTCTGGCATTATACATAGAATATTGTGTGTATTTTCTTTTATATCTTTAAATGAGTTTAGTGTATGTATAATAAAAATAATTCAGTATGCTACCCATTTAATGGTGAATCATATCAATAAATATCACTGAGTGTACTTATTATCTCTTGTCGAGGTTCTGAACTTCACTCAAAGAAACAGTAATCATATTCATGAATATAAGATCTCAGGTGTTACTTATTTATCTTCTTTGCTACAGGTGGATGGGACAGTATAGCACAGATACCACCAAATGAACCCACAAAGTACAAGTGTGAGGATCTAACTCCAAAGAGAGAATACAAATTCCGCATTAGAGCAGTCAATAAAATAGGATCATCTGAACCAGTATTATTTGCCAAGACTGTTCTTGCTAAGGATCCATGGGGTACATATAACATATTGTGTAGTGTTGGTAATATAGTACAAATTTAAGTCAGTATTATCACCAACATGAATTTTAAAAATCTGCAATGTAATTATGAACACTTAATTGTTGATCAACCCATCATTTGACACTATATAGTCAAACTGTTAACAGAATCATAAAATATACCTTAAATGAGTAAATTTTTCTCTGTGAAAATATGAACCAGACTAAGCCCTAAGACACTGAGAAGAAGACAGTCCTAAGTTCTGTAAACTGTCAAGTGTTGCTAAAAAAGGATTCCATTTAACGTAATATTATTTTCCGTCAAGGATTCTTTTCAACTTAATATTATTTTCCATCAAATGTTTTGCATAGTTGTTCTGCAGCAGATGATGGGTTTTTAATGGAGAAATTTATGAGATTATTTTATTCATGTTGAGAACCTGATCAGTTTGTTACAAATGCTCTTTCTCTAACTTAAAATATGATACTTAATTTTACATTTTATTTACATATGTTTATTTCATGTAAATCTATTTGAGAAGGGCATGTGTATTGAAATATTTTGGTTCATTACAAACATTTTTGAAAGTTTACAACTTGTTTTAATATATTGTTTTATGCAATTAGTAATAAAGACAGTATTAAAAAGAAAAATCTTCGTACATTTAATTTCTTGGTACCAAATACTTACCCATAGACATTGTGATTCCATGATGATACCCGAACTTCTAAATGAAATGTCTGTGTTCTTTGTGTATATATAACTTATAACAATTTTATATGCAGATGAACCTAGCAAGCCTAATAATGTTGAAGTTGTGGACTGGGACAAAGACCATGCAGATCTTAAGTGGCTCAAACCAGACAATGATGGTGGAGCACCCATCACTGGCTATGTTATAGAATTTAAGGTAAGTAAAATATTAAACTGCTTTATTCCCCATGTGTATCATCAATATTCAAATCTAATATAGCACTTGTAACTTTATTTTCTGTAGTTTTGTTTTTTGTATTCTGTAGTTGTAATTTTTGTATTTGGCCTCCCTTCCAATAACGTTTAGTTCTGTTTCTTCAGAAATCTGATTTAAATTATTACATGTTTTGAATCCACTATTTTGAACTCCATTGATGAATTGTATTATAATTACAGTGAATGTTCCTTTTATGTATAGGAGTTGAAGGTGATTGGTTTTTGTTGGCCCAGGACAAGGACCAGTGGAGGGCTTTTGTTAATTCAGTGATGAACCTTTGGGTTGCCTAAGCCAGCTAGTTAGTCAGTTAGTTCCTTGCATGTACTTATTTTTGTGTTCTTTTCCTGGGAACACTATTCACAAATCTCTGTCCTTATCTAATCAATATCTTGTGACAACAGAAGAGAATGAAACTTCCAGTTGTTGAATATCATTACAGAGAATAAGATGGGCATTTACATGCTATGTACAATTGCAGTGTTGCACAAAAGTGTTCAACATTGATTCTTTTAGTATACACTTTATAATGTCCAGTATTTGTCACCATTTATTTCTTTTTTCTTTATCTTAACAGTACATCCTATTTGAAAATCTGTCTGTATGTTTAATTGTCTCTCTTTTTGTCATTTATTTATTTTTTTGGATAATTCGTAAGCAAATATTTAACTTTATTAAGTATACTGCATATTTAAACACATTTCAGTTTTCAAAATTGCTCTTCTGGGTATTAAAAGTTGAGTTAATAACACTGTTTACTTCTGTCATAGTTGAATTATAGACTTCCTGGAAGCCGTAAAATAAAAAAAACTAACATTCTCTTTTGTATGTGTGGTACAGGAAAAATTTGGCAAAGAATGGGAAAAGGGATTGGAAATAGCAGGAGATATCACAAAGGCAACCATACAGGGCTTGAAGGAAGGAACTCAATATGAATTCCGAATCCGAGCTGTTAACAAAGCTGGACCTGGAGAACCAAGTGATGCAACAAAACCTATAATTGCTAAGGCCCGGTTTGGTGAGTAAAATTTGTTTGCATACCTCTCTTGCTGTCTAAGGAAATAGCCATTACTTTTCCAGTTGTTTTTCTAGTAAATTGGCAATGAAAATCTTTGTAATAGGTGTTCAGTTTTATAACTTTTTTTATAAATTGTAGAAACTATGCAAACAATTATCTAATTCTGGCAGGTAAATGTTAAGAGTTGTGCATTTATTTTACCAGTGTCCGAAATATCAGAATATTGTATTCAGATTATGATCATAAAATCATTATGATTATTGTGATTATAAAATTTATTCACATATTTATGATGACCTCACACTAGCATGTGCATGGACCACCGACTGAAATAATCTATAATTTAAAATCTTGATGGCATGCTAAGAACGTTACAACAATTATTAATTTCCATTGACTGACAAATGGACTGTGCAGCTCTTATTTTATGTACAGATTTCAGCACACATCTTGAATATTATAATTTTTTTTTAATACAGATATTTCATTTCTATCCTTTATATGAACAAAATATTACTTTGTGCTTTTAATTGTATCCCTTTTAAGCTTGTAGAAGAATATTTTTCTAATACATTATTTTTCAGTCCATGTAGACATGCCTGAATGTATTTATCGACTGACAGAGGTAATGTTCAGTGGACAAACAAGTCCATCCGCATACAGAATCTTCTTGAGAAACTGTGGGTTTGAGTGTGTGAAGTATAATTTATAGACACACTTTTTCACTGGTTTTGAAGCTTCAATCACATTGTGTATATTTATAACAGTCATGTCTGTGATTTGCCTTACTACAGAACTTGTCAACACACATAATCTGTTGCACTTTTTACAGTGAAACCATTCATCATTGGAGATGGTTTGACAAATATTGTTGTGAAAAAGGGCCAAGTTATAAAATATGACATTAAGTTTGGTGGTGAACCAGAACCAGTACCTCGATGGGAACAAGACGGCAAAGAACTTACTGAGGATGCTCAGGAAAGGTAAATATTAATGAACTTCAACACTGATTTCTGCCAATTTTTATGTTATGCTATTTTGTTTACCTCAGTACAGTAATAAACAGTCTAAGATGACTATGACCTTAGTATTTCTTTTACTGTGGCAGAAAAACACAAAAGATTGCTATTATGATCAAATTTCATGCAGATTACAGTATATTTTTTCATATTTATTCATTATTTGTTTAAGTATGGTTTCAGCAGTTCACTCAGATTATGTGACATTGTTTAATAGGATGGTTACTTGGAGAGTGGATTGAGAAGGATACAAAAGGTAGCAGTAATTCCCTAATTTAAGAACTATCTTGGCAATTGCCTAGATGGACTGAAGGAAACCACATAATATCTGAAGATTTCTGTCTTCTGGGTTGTTGCGCTGTGTAGCCTGGTCGATGTTAACCAACGTTTCAGAGGTCATACTGCCTTTGTCATCAGGGCGATGAATATCATCGACCAGACTACACAGCGCAACAACCCAGAAGACAGAAATCTTCATACTCACCACTGTGAAAACCTCAAATCTCACATAATATCTATATCTATCTATCTATTTATCTATCTACACACACACACACATATGTGTGTGTGTGTGTAGATAGATAAATAGATAGATAGATATAGATATTATGTGAGATTTGAGGTTTTCACAGTGGTGAGTATGAAGATTTCTGTCTTCTGGGTTGTTGCGCTGTGTAGCCTGGTCGATGTTAACCAACGTTTCAGAGGTCATACTGCCTTTGTCATCAGGGCGATGAATATCATCGACCAGACTACACAGCGCAACAACCCAGAAGACAGAAATCTTCATACTCACCACTGTGAAAACCTCAAATCTCACATAATATCTATATCTATCTATCTATTTATCTATCTACACACACACACACATATGTGTGTGTGTGTGTAGATAGATAAATAGATAGATAGATATAGATATTATGTGAGATTTGAGGTTTTCACAGTGGTGAGTATGAAGATTTCTGTCTTCTGGGTTGTTGCGCTGTGTAGCCTGGTCGATGTTAACCAACGTTTCAGAGGTCATACTGCCTTTGTCATCAGGGCGATGAATATCATCGACCAGACTACACAGCGCAACAACCCAGAAGACAGAAATCTTCATACTCACCACTGTGAAAACCTCAAATCTCACATAATATCTATATCTATCTATCTATTTATCTATCTACACACACACACACATATGTGTGTGTGTGTGTAGATAGATAAATAGATAGATAGATATAGATATTATGTGAGATTTGAGGTTTTCACAGTGGTGAGTATGAAGATTTCTGTCTTCTGGGTTGTTGCGCTGTGTAGCCTGGTCGATGTTAACCAACGTTTCAGAGGTCATACTGCCTTTGTCATCAGGGCGATGAATATCATCGACCAGACTACACAGCGCAACAACCCAGAAGACAGAAATCTTCATACTCACCACTGTGAAAACCTCAAATCTCACATAATATCTATATCTATCTATCTATTTATCTATCTACACACACACACACATATGTGTGTGTGTGTGTAGATAGATAAATAGATAGATAGATATAGATATTATGTGAGATTTGAGGTTTTCACAGTGGTGAGTATGAAGATTTCTGTCTTCTGGGTTGTTGCGCTGTGTAGCCTGGTCGATGTTAACCAACGTTTCAGAGGTCATACTGCCTTTGTCATCAGGGCGATGAATATCATCGACCAGACTACACAGCGCAACAACCCAGAAGACAGAAATCTTCATACTCACCACTGTGAAAACCTCAAATCTCACATAATATCTATATCTATCTATCTATTTATCTATCTACACACACACACACATATGTGTGTGTGTGTGTAGATAGATAAATAGATAGATAGATATAGATATTATGTGAGATTTGAGGTTTTCACAGTGGTGAGTATGAAGATTTCTGTCTTCTGGGTTGTTGCGCTGTGTAGCCTGGTCGATGTTAACCAACGTTTCAGAGGTCATACTGCCTTTGTCATCAGGGCGATGAATATCATCGACCAGACTACACAGCGCAACAACCCAGAAGACAGAAATCTTCATACTCACCACTGTGAAAACCTCAAATCTCACATAATATCTATATCTATCTATCTATTTATCTATCTACACACACACACACATATGTGTGTGTGTGTGTAGATAGATAAATAGATAGATAGATATAGATATTATGTGAGATTTGAGGTTTTCACAGTGGTGAGTATGAAGATTTCTGTCTTCTGGGTTGTTGCGCTGTGTAGCCTGGTCGATGTTAACCAACGTTTCAGAGGTCATACTGCCTTTGTCATCAGGGCGATGAATATCATCGACCAGACTACACAGCGCAACAACCCAGAAGACAGAAATCTTCATACTCACCACTGTGAAAACCTCAAATCTCACATAATATCTATATCTATCTATCTATTTATCTATCTACACACACACACACATATGTGTGTGTGTGTGTAGATAGATAAATAGATAGATAGATATAGATATTATGTGAGATTTGAGGTTTTCACAGTGGTGAGTATGAAGATTTCTGTCTTCTGGGTTGTTGCGCTGTGTAGCCTGGTCGATGTTAACCAACGTTTCAGAGGTCATACTGCCTTTGTCATCAGGGCGATGAATATCATCGACCAGACTACACAGCGCAACAACCCAGAAGACAGAAATCTTCATACTCACCACTGTGAAAACCTCAAATCTCACATAATATCTATATCTATCTATCTATTTATCTATCTACACACACACACACATATGTGTGTGTGTGTGTAGATAGATAAATAGATAGATAGATATAGATATTATGTGAGATTTGAGGTTTTCACAGTGGTGAGTATGAAGATTTCTGTCTTCTGGGTTGTTGCGCTGTGTAGCCTGGTCGATGTTAACCAACGTTTCAGAGGTCATACTGCCTTTGTCATCAGGGCGATGAATATCATCGACCAGACTACACAGCGCAACAACCCAGAAGACAGAAATCTTCATACTCACCACTGTGAAAACCTCAAATCTCACATAATATCTATATCTATCTATCTATTTATCTATCTACACACACACACACATATGTGTGTGTGTGTGTAGATAGATAAATAGATAGATAGATATAGATATTATGTGAGATTTGAGGTTTTCACAGTGGTGAGTATGAAGATTTCTGTCTTCTGGGTTGTTGCGCTGTGTAGCCTGGTCGATGTTAACCAACGTTTCAGAGGTCATACTGCCTTTGTCATCAGGGCGATGAATATCATCGACCAGACTACACAGCGCAACAACCCAGAAGACAGAAATCTTCATACTCACCACTGTGAAAACCTCAAATCTCACATAATATCTATATCTATCTATCTATTTATCTATCTACACACACACACACACATATGTGTGTGTGTGTGTGAACTGTCTAAAGATATTAATAATGTATGTCTTTCAGGATTACAATTGACAAATATGAAAAGAACACAGTACTTACAATTCGCCGGGTAACAAGAGCTGACAGTGGCAAATATAAGTTGACTCTCACTAATGGTTCAGGAACGTGTGAAAGTTTGGCTGATGTTGTTGTCCTAGGTAAGCACTGATATTTATGACATTCTTAGACTAATATGAGACAGCATTGTTGCTAGAGTATTAGACTATATAACATTTTATTTTTATTCTTACTGTAACTTAATAAGGACTTAGAAAATAATAAAGTAATTAATTATCTATGATTTTTCTCATACTTACTGTACTTTGTTATGTAACAGAACATGTCTATTTACATGCTTATAGCACTGTTGGAGATTACCAGATGCAGTTCTGTTTATGTAACTGATAATTTGCTGTAGAGCCTATTAGTATGTTTCAACAAACATGTTACAGGGTCATTTCCTTTAAGTTACATTAATGTCTATGATGAAATGGAGAGCTAATCTTTGAAATCACATTTGTGTCAAAGGCCACTGTATTAAGTGTGTTATATTTTGATGGATGTAAAGTTTATGTTGTGTTTATTATTTACAGGCAAACCTTCCTCACCACAAGGCCCTCTGGTAGCTGAAGAGGTGCGGGCAAATCATGTGAAAGTCAAGTGGAACAAGCCTGAAGACAGTGGAGGAAGTGATATCACAGGCTATGTACTGGAAAAAATGGATCTGGACACAGGACATTGGGTACCTGCTGGAGAGGTAAGTTTATTTTTAATGTACAATTTTCTCTGAAAATGTTATATGTAAATGTTTTCTTTTGTAGCATTAGCCCTTATCAGTCTGCAGTTTTTTGTATGTTTCAGTAGGCTAGTTGAGATTACTTTTTTGAAAATTATGTTTTAAATTATATGTAATTAAGATTACTTGTCAGCATTGTGTGTACATAATGTTTCTCTGTGCCTTTCACATATGCATTCAACATGAGTGAATGGTTGTTAGGATATCACATATGATTGAGTTCTCTGTTGTTTTGTTTCAAACATTTCATCTTATGACTGCTAAGAATAATTTATCTGGAATGTTAAATTAGGTGAAACCAGATAAGAATTCATTCACAATTGATGGATTAACTCCTAAGAAGAAATACAAGTTCCGAGTGAAAGCTGTAAACAAGGAAGGTGAATCAGAACCTCTAGAGACAGATGAACCAATTCTGGCCAGGAATCCTTATGGTAATGTTGAACAGCATCACAGAAACAAGACCTATGACATATTTTAAATGCTGTTAATAAGAACAAGACATTTCTGTGCTGGACTGTTAGAGTATGTTGTATGTTCCTTTTCAGATGAGCCTGGTCGGCCCGGGAAACCTGATATTATTGACTTTGATAACAAGAGTGTAACTTTAAAATGGGCTAAACCAGAAGAGGATGGTGGTCGACCAATAACTCATTACACTGTTGAAATGAAAGACAAGCTCTCTGTGGAGTGGGTGGAAGTTTTTAAAACAAAAGACAGTAACCCTGAGGGTGTTGTAGAAGGCCTCAAAGAAAAGAATATTTATCAATTCAGGATACGTGCACACAATAAAGCTGGTGCCAGTGAACCTAGTGAACCAACAAATAGTCACATCTGCAAACACAGACATTGTAAGTAAAACTCTTAACCCTTTGCGGTCCTATGTCAGACTGAGTCCGACATTGAAAAATCCGAGTTCCAGTCCGATGTCGGAGATCCACGAAAACTCAGTCAGGACAGAAGCTCTTCCTTTGTTATACATGAAGTTTAGAAGTTATGAATATGTGAAAGATATTCATATTTGATTGCTCTAAAACAAAACTAGTTTAATTTTGTTCACATACCTGTATTATTAAAGCAGCTAGATTTCTAGTGGAAAATTATATTCAAATTTATATTCATAGATGATGATTTTGATTGTCATTGTCATTTGTTTTCCAGTGAAACCAAGAATTGATCGTGCCACCTTCAAGAGTGTGACCATTAAAGCTGGACGAACACACAAATGGTCAGTAGATGTATCTGGAGAACCTCCTCCAACCTGTTCATGGATCTGGCGTGACAACATCTCACTGGTCACTACAGAGAAAATCAAAATTGAAAATATTGATTATCATACAGACTTCACAATTATTAGTACTATGCGACGAGATACGGGGAAATACACACTCATTGCAGAAAATGCATCAGGGAAAGATCAAGAGACTGTCGAACTCACAGTACTTGGTGAGATGATTTTTTGTACTATTTATTTAATGTTAAGAACAGCTGGTATGCTGTATTGTTGTAAATCTGATTGATGTTTCTGCGCCAGCATTATATTGAGATATTTTTGTGAATTTTATAATTTTAAGCATGAGCTGCTATGTAATCTGTAACTTGAGTCTCAGATTGAAAGTACTGTCTGCTTGTGATGATTATGCTTTCAGGTAAAACAAGTTTTTATGTGAATGTTTTTAGTACAAGATACACACAAAAGCTACATGATATTTTAACATGAGCTAGAGTAATTAGCATATAATTATTTCTAAATTAAGAAATAAGTATTAAATACATCCATCATTGGCATGTTGCATCTGATTTCAGAAAAATTTGAAGTTACAAGTTCACTTTTTCTTGAATTCTCATATGTAATTCACATCATCATGTGTGTCACACACTTTAAGTACTTTTATTGTTACTTGTTGACTTTACAGATTACTTCAAAACAGTGGATACTTTTGTCTTATAATTTTATTAGCTTCCTTTTTTGTAACAATTGGTCAATGAAATCTGCCATAAGAGAGAGGGCCTAGAGCTCTAATCAGGAACTGTAGGTTTATCAGAACATTATTATGGTCCAGTTCTTCCAGCATATTTAAATGTAATTGTTAATTGTTTTTGAGAATTGAAAGTGCTACATTTACACAACATGAAGAATGGAATTCACAAGGCAATGAATATTATTTCTTATTCTGTTGAAACACAAGACTTAATATACTGATATAAATGCACCTAAGGTTGAAACGTGTTTCAGAATGTAATTTTATGTAATGTATTGATATTCTAGAAACTAATATGCAGTTAGTTTGAGTACTCACTTTCTGTGACTATACTAATAAAAATAATATTCTTGATTTTAATGTTACTGTAAATGTATTATGTTATATTTCAGAGTATACAGCAGTGTGATAGTATGATTGTAAACACATTTATTTGTATGCTCTGTACTAAATAAATCTGTTCATCTTCTAACGTGCAGGCAAACCCAGTATGCCACAGGGACCATTGGAAGTAACTGATGTAACAAAAACATCTGCAAAATTGAAATGGAAAAAACCAGAGGATGATGGTGGATGTCCTATCAAAGAGTACGAAGTGGAGAAGATGGACATGGCTACTGGGAAGTGGGTTAGAGTGGGACGAGTTCCTGGAGATAGACCATTTCCAGAGTTGGAAGTTACTGGTCTCACGCCTGGAGCAGAATACAAATTCCGAGTGTCTGCCGTTAATGATGAAGGAGACTCAGAACCACTGGTGACAGAGAAAGCTACCATTGCAAAGAATCCATTTGGTAGGTGCCTTTTAAATTATTTACTTTCATGTACTTTTAACTTTTGTGTGTAAGACACTACATTAATTTAACTTTTCCGGTCCAGCATCCATGTGGACTTGACGCTGCTTCAAAATGTTCATGCTCTGTCAGCATATTTACTTTAAAACAAAGAAATTTAACTGCTTCAAAATATTCATGCTCTGTCAACATATTTACTTTAAAACAAAGAAATTTAAATCAAAGTTGTCACAGAAATTTTGTAAAATTTACTTGGATTGTGCGATTCAAATACACCAAAATTTTTTTAGACCAGGTATGGTTAAAATTATTTTTATATGGGCTAATATAAGCAATTAATGCTCTGTATATCAACATATTCTATGTTAAATTATTCCTTAGATCATTGAGCTTGATGAGTTGACTGGTGTTGCTATATGATACAGATATGAAATATATGATGAAAGAGTCTCAGGTTACAAGCCGCGTCAGATGGCTGAACAGTGAATAAACCATATCTTCTGCCAACATTTCAAGAACAATCTCTGCTGTCATCCTCAGGGCTTCTGGGTAACAAATGTTTCTTTGTTGCACACTCACTGATGCAAAACTAACCGTTCAGCCACCTCACACAGCTTGTAACCCGAGAACCTTTCATCAACTTCAGTCGCCACGAAAGCTTCACTTTATACATATGAAATATATGTTTAGCATGGTAGTGTCCTATGTGGAAAGAAAAAGAGCATTTGGATTATGATATTCTGGGTAATGACACAATTTGATCTAATAGGTTGTTACCAACATTTCAAAGGAACCTGTCACCTCCATCTTCAGGGTCTTTTTTCAAAATGTTGGAAACCACCTACAAGACTACAGCTTCATTGCCGTAATTCCCACAATCTGAATCTTCACTGCTCTAAAAGCCTCAAATTTCAATATAAGAAAATATAAGAACAGCTTTTTAGTGAAATTTAAAGGTTTATTATGTTTAAAACAGCTGTTTGTAACTGTGCCACATGGAGTATGTTTCTTCTGTTTCAGATGAGCCATCTCAGCCTGGCACCCCAGAAATCACAGATTTTGATAATGAGAGTGTAGATTTGAAGTGGACCAAACCAAAAAGTGATGGAGGTGCCCCAATTGAAAAATATATTATTGAAAAGAAAGACAGGTATCTTTGTGTATTATTGAATATACCACATAAAAATAATAAAAAAAAATATTGCATGATTTTGAACTAATTTTTCTTCACTGTTCAGTTGTTCTGATAGTTGTTAAAATATTGCTCAGGAAAATTGAATAATGTTCTAAAATTTTGACATGATATTCTTCTGGGAAGCCATGTAAATGTTGAATCCTACAAGAACTAGTACTGTGCTTTACAAATGAAAAATTGTTTTGAACATTGAAACAAACTTTATATATAGTGTTCTTCCAGTAATACTTTTAATATTATTTTGTCTCATAAAAATTCTTTAAAGTTTTTGTTTAAAAGGAATTCATTTTTTATTAATATTAAAGTAATGTTCACATGTGTGTGCAAAAATTTAGCTACATTGTTTAATCTATATATTTTAGATTAAATGTCAAATAGAAACTGTTGGTTAATTTCACAACTCTCTTTTCAAAATGCATGGTATTTGTTTCAAAATTATATCTTAAATATACTTTAACAGATGTGATGAAACATAATTTCATTATGAATTGAATTATTGTAGCAAGATAGAATAAAATGTTACAATTTATGTGTAATAAAGGGAGTATGTTTTGTTCATAACAATCTTGAAATAGGTTATAAAAGGCAGCAAATAATTTATTATTTATTATTTTGTTTTCTTATAAAAGTATATTTAAGCAGAATAAATATTATTTATTAAGACCACGTTTTGTTTTCAGTTTGAACTAAAAAATATATAACTTTAAATGTAAAATACTAAACTGTATATTGATTAATATTTTGTTAGTTGTTTATTATTGGTTTTATTTAACTTCATTTACATGTGAAAGAACAAGGTCTCCATTAGGAAGTTCAATTTTTAATTCACGGTTAATGAAATGCTGATTTGTAATTATGTTTACACAGGTTCAAGCCAGATTGGGAGAAAGCTATAGAAGTTCCAGGTGATCAGCTGGAAGCAAAAGTTCCGGATCTGAAGGAAAGGGCTGAGTTCCAGTTCCGAATAGTAGCTGTAAATAAAGCTGGGCCATCTCCTGCATCTGAACCTACAAAGTCACACCTTGTTAAACATAAGGCCTGTAAGTTGACCTTTGAATATAATGAGAAAAACCTTGAATATTTATGATACATCTATGCTTGTGAATTTATATGAAGTGAGAAAAGGAAGGTTTCAGTACTTCATCTCTAACTTTCCACAATTTTTCTTTCAGTGAAACCAAGAATAGACCGTACAAATCTGAAACCAATTGTGATCAAAGCAGGAAAAATGGTGAAATATGATGTGAATATCAGAGGTGAACCTCCTCCAACTGTAAAATGGTTCCATGGGAACGATGAGGTAGCAAGTTAGATTTTAATATTTTAAAAATAAGAATCATATCTTCCAATGCAAAATGTAAGAGTGGAGAAAATACATCAGAATTCAATATGATGCTAAACCCAGTTTGGTTTGATATATTTTATGAATTGTAATTAATATTAGCCTTTATTTAATTAGATTTATAACTCCAGAAATATTGAACTGTATTAAATTAAATATGGCTTTCAGTGGTATACAAGTTAAGATGCGTTTGAATGTTCTTAAAGTTTTTTTTTTTGCTGTGCTTTCTCTTTGAACAAATTTAACCAAGGACATAATTAGTATATCCTATTTCCAAATTTTAATGTACAATTTCATTACACAATACAATTGTTATGATAGCTATCTAATAGCCATTTGGAAAAATTTGCCAGTCATTCACACACACACACACACACACACATATAAAACTCTATATTCTGTGTTATCACCAAAATGTATTTATTATCTTTTCAGGTTAAGTCTGAGGGTAATATAGAAATCATTAACATTGACTACAATACCAAACTTACTATTAATGATGGTGTAAGAAAGAACACTGGTTTATGGAAAATTGTGGCTGAAAATCAGCATGGAAAGGATGAAGCTGATGTTGAAATTACTGTTCTCTGTAAGTATGATGGAGGAGCATAAAATTAACCCTTAAATGCAGCATGTGTAAATGTCTTATTGCTATGTATGTAACATGGTTTCCAAAGATTTAATTCATTGGTCTGCTCAGTAACTGTGATTTAAATAGCACAGTAAGGGGTTAGATGTAGAGACTTGTTTTTAATATTGTACATATTTAGTTCTGTAGATGCAATTTTATTTTTGAGAATTCATTTTTATTTTAGCTGCACCTTCAAGACCAAAGGGTCCTCTTAAAGTATCAGATGTTACAAAGAATGGTTGCAAATTGAAGTGGGATAAACCAGAGGATGATGGTGGCAAACCTATCACTGGGTATGTAGTTGAGAAGCTTGATACAGCAACCGGGCGATGGGTGCCAGTAGGTCGTACCACTGAGCCTGAAATGGATGTGAAAGGACTTCAGGAGGGCAGTGAATATAAATTCCGAGTGAAGGCTCTCAATGATGAGGGAGAGAGTGAGCCACTGGAGACAGAGCGTGCTACACTTGCTAAAAATCCATTTGGTGAGCTGTATAATTAATTATATATTCTTTTAGGATGTAATTGTAATTAACTAGTTTCATGTAGTAGATTCTTCCTTGAGTAGCTGGCAGTTGCTCAGCTAATCAGGAATTTCTGTGCCTTCTATGGAACCCGAGGGTTCATTGTCATGTTCAGAAAAGTCTGGCACTTGTAAATATTAGCATGTTAGTATACCATGAAATAAATATGCAGTACTTAGTGTGAATGTAAATCACATATAAACTGTAACTATATCTGTGTTCAAGTTTGTTTGCACATTTTCAAGACATCTTAAATAGAGACAGCAAAACATCTAATAATGTCATGTTGAAAAATAATAATTTGCTTTCCCCCACCTGGTATATTTTCCTGTAGGTATTTAAACAGATGCTATTTCTAAAAAAATCAGTCACATATTTTCTTAAAGATTACATAAAAGAATGCTTCAGACATATGTATTTGAAATATTGTACTTTGTAAGTAGTTCTAAATAGTGCTTGTAAAAGTTTAATATGTTGCCTTGTAGACATTCCAAGCAAGCCTGGGACCCCTGATATTGTTGACTGGGATGTGGATCGTGTGGATCTTAAATGGGAGGCTCCAAAGTCCAATGGTGGGGCTGCAATTACTGGCTACATTATTGAAAAGAAGGAGAAATTTAGCAGTTCTTGGGATGAGATTCTGACTACTACGGTAGGAAGTTGTTCAGTTTATTTAATATTGGCACTTTTTGTGCATTTATCATGAAAATCCTGGAAATTAAGTATTGTGTTTTCATGTACACAGACAATCTATAATTAGCTTGTATGAAGAATGAAATATATATTTCAATGACTTGTGATTTATTTGTAAATAAATATTTACTGACATTATTTTACTTTTATATACTTAAAAATGATTTTGTCTTGTGTCTTCTGTTGATTTTTGACACTTACTGTGAAACTTGGTTATAACATTTATTGAAAATTCCTAAAATTGATCTTAAAAGTTGTTGTCCAACATATTATTACAACTACTATGTTTTGTTATGGATATAACATAGAAAGAGGGTGCTTCCTTTTTGTTTCTTAGTCCCCTGCTTGTGAAGCTCGAGTTCCTGGCTTAAAGGAAGGGAACCAATACCAGTTTCGTGTTCGGGCAGTGAACAAGGCAGGTCCTTCAGAACCTAGTGAGCCTACTAAACCACATATTGCCAAAGCCAGATTCTGTAAGTATTTATGTGTATTAATCAAACACCTTATTTTTGAAGATCCTCATAAAATCAATTTTCACTGAACATTGCAGCCAAGTGGTTAGCACTCCTTCATAATCAGGAGGTTGTAAGTTGAAATCTTAGCCCAGGGGCTGGCTTTCCTTACAGGTTTTTCATGTCCACCTTGGTAGTTTCAGAAATCCATATTGTAGTCATTGATTTATTGCACTGTAAACATAACGAAATTTTTACAAAATGCACATTGTAAGACCTTCTTAATTTGTCAACATTTTCTTCTGACCAGTAACACAACAGCATTCCTCATTTATGTAAAATTTGTCATATTTTTGAGTGAAACTTTAACTTTCAGTGCGTCCAATTATTAACCGTGAGAAACTGCAAAAAGTCACAGTACGTGCAGGAGCATTTGTCAGATTTGATGTGGATGTGAAAGGTGAACCTCCACCAACTATCAGTTGGCATTTTGCTAATAAGCAGCTGGAGAATGGACCGACAGTAAAGATTGAAAATGAAGATTACAATACAAAGATACAGCTTTCTGACACAGTAAGGAAAAACACAGGCATATATACTATCAAAGCAGAGAACAGTTCTGGCACAGATGAAGCTACAGTAGAGGTAATAATACTTGGTAAGTAAAATGTCATATCATTAATTCTTCTAATTGCATACTTTGTCCTAAATGATTATTACAGTAAAATGCATATAATAATATTTACATAATTATTGCACTTCAGTCCTACAGAAAGAAATTCTGTATTACCATGCTTAACAGTATTGCAGCATTCTTTACTTTAAATATGGTTGTCTTCTGGGATGTAGCACTGTGTTATCTAGTAGACATTTACTTACATTTTAGAGGTACTTGGTGCCTCCATCAGGCAGCAAGACAGTTGTCTTCACTCTTGCCATCACTGTGACCTCAAATCCTACTTTTGATTTTAGTGTACATGGCTCTATTGTATTTGAATCTGTGCACATTTTATATTCAGGTAGGGTTATTGTTATTAACACTGTATATTCAAAAATATCACTGAGGTTTTAATGGTATTTCAGGCTCCATGTTGAAAGTTGGAACAAACATGCAATTTTTTAAAGTTTGTAACACCTCCTGAAACTAAATTTTAAATAAGGTACATATCTTCTAAAAAAAGGGTGAAGTTACCCTCTGTGAGTTCATTGTGTCATTAAGTCTTTGTTCACAGTATATTTGTTATGTTTAGAGCTTGCGGATTAAAAATAAAGAAGAAACAACAATGAAGGGAAATAGTAAACAACATATGATTTTGGTTGTATGTAAAAATTTGTAAAACATTTGGTTTCATTTATATTATATAAAACCTGCCTTTAATGTTTGTAGATAAACCTGATAAACCGGAGGGGCCTCTTGAAGTCACAAATGTGCACAAAGAAGGCTGTAAGTTGAAGTGGAAAAAACCAAAAGATGATGGTGGTCTCCCTTTGACTGGCTATGTTGTGGAGAAAATGGATGCTGCAACAGGTCGCTGGGTTCCAGCTGGCTTTGTTGATCCTAACAAGACTGAACAGGAAATTACAGGGCTTGAACCTATGAAAAAGTATCAGTTCAGAGTGAAGGCAGTTAATGAGGAAGGAGAATCAGAACCGTTAACAACAGATACTGCCATTCTTGCCAAGAATCCATATGGTAAATGTACAAAAAGTCAATAATAGAACTTGTACTTTTTAGTAAAATATACAGTATCTTTATATAAGATGAATTCGTGATGCACAGAAACTAGTGTGTATTGTACACATTCTGAATTTACAGAGTACATAAATGTAAAACATTCAACCATATAGGTTATGATTCATACATCCCAGGTTAAAATCTTGTACATAACTTTGATGTCTGTGTACACTTTATCAGTTAGACTTTTTCCTGTTTTGTATAAGATTTCTTTGAATCAGAGAAGAGTTCAGAAAAATTTAATAATTGCAAGTAATTTGCATTTGATGAGGTAGTGTGATTTGTTTACAAGATCACATGATTTTTTTCAAGAAAAGGCACACCTGAATGTTATAATATTCATAGAGAATTCTGACCCACTTATTTAGTGAGTGTTGCAGTTTCTTAAATAAAACTAAAATCACTATAAAACTAGTATTTGGCACATATATAATTTATAGACATAACTAAGAAAGGTGGCTTATATCACTAATCATTTGTGGATGTTGCAGCTTTGCTTATTATGAATTTATAAACAGTTTTATATACAGAATGTTCATTGACTCTAAGTCAGTACTTCAAGATCCTGTTCTTGAGGTAATTCCCAGCCATAAATGTTAATTCTTTATGTTAGATATTTAATTCCCGATATTTCTTTTCAGATACTCCAGCAGCTCCTGGACTGCCAGAAATTGTAGACTGGGATGAGACCATGGTGAAGCTCAAGTGGGAACCACCAATTCGTGATGGTGGTGCACCAATAACAGGTGATTTCTCTGTGGTTTGAAGTTCGATGTTCAGATCAACATCTTTGTAATGTTTCATGCTTCATGTATGATACAAATGTTGTTATAGTTTGAAAGGAATAATATTTCAGAATATTAAAATGTAATTATGTTTTTAAAAAGGTGTGTTGAAATTTGAATATGTCTTATTCATTTGAAGCTCATTGGTCCAAAATATATTCATTTTCGTGTAAGCAGGTTCAAACAATTTGAACTTAGTAAAAACCAGATTAGAGTGTTTACTTTAACATTCAACATACTCTCAGTTTTCACAAGCAGTCATGTCACTTGATGAAGCTTCTTCATGTATGCATGACACAAAATTGTCTCTTTGAGGATGCACTCCTTCCAACTCATTTAAGTAGAATGTACTAAACATATCACATGTCATATTATAGGCTATGTTATTGAGATGATGGACAAATATGGAGGAGCCTTTGTAAAAGCAGCTGAAGTTCATGGAAACACCTGTCAGGGCACTGTTCCTAAATTGGAAGAAGGAAATCAGTACCAGTTCCGAGTAAGAGCTGTAAACAAGGCTGGTCCTGGTGATCCGAGTGAGGAGACTAATCCACATATTGCTAAAGCAAGATACTGTAAGTTATGAAGGCCTACTCTATGAAACAGAAAATATGAACTTGTTTTGGTTTTAGAATTAAATGTCAGAATGACACTTCTCTCTAAACTAGCATTTCCTTAGAACTTCAAGTTGTATCATCATCAGCTGTTGTGGATGCTGTTATATCAAACTTCAATGAGCATAAGAAGTTTATTGATTAGCCTTTGCCAGTTTTATCTGTAGTTTATCAAACCTATAATTCTTTTTGGACTTTCGTATCTTAAATACTATTGCTGATGCATTTTTCTGCACTTGAATCAGAAGTTTACTACATTATAATATTTTATCAGAATGGGCAAATTGTTGAATGGAAAATGTGTATAAAATCTGTAAAAAATATTTTCTCTTGTTAAATCCATATCTGGATGAATCTGATACGCATTTAGTGAAGTAAAAATGTCTTAGGAGAAAATGTCTGTCAGTCTGATGGTTCAACCATCCATGTTTGAAATATTAGTGCAATGGCTGATGGTTTCTTAACACAGATACAACACTTTGAGGAATATTTTATTCATATTAAAGAGACAGAAATGTAGATTATTAGTTTGGTAAGGGCAGTTTAGATCTTAGAAACTTGGGTCCCTATTAAGATGGTGGCTATTGAAGTGTTTTACAGCATGCAATAGATATGAATATATGTGCAGCATTACAAATGCTGTGCATATATTACCCTTCACTATATATTTTATAAGTAATGTTAAATTGTTCTTGCAGTGAAACCAAATATTGACCGCACCAACTTGCAAAATCTCGTTGTCAAAGTTGGCCTTACTCTCACCCTTGATGTTAATATTTCTGGAGAACCTCCTCCAGAAGTTACATGGTTGTTTGAAGGAAAGGTGAGTTTCATCATTAAGATAGATTTTATACAACCAGTTCTATCATAGTCACCTACAGTGTAAGACTGTACAATACAACTACATACAATGCATAAAACAGTCTCCTTACCTCTTTGGTATTTAACACAAAAATGTGTAACATGTCCATTGTTAGCAGTTGCAGTGACCTGCCCATCCATTTGGTCAGTTACCCTGTGGGATTCCACCAAGAGGCATCTTGTCTCTACAGTACTGAATTACATATAGTACTTGTAATTCTACCAGAGGCTAACAGATATCTCCAATTGTTTCACCAGTTTCTAGAATTTTTAATTACACTCATAACACTTGCTGAGATTGCTCAAAGATTATATGAGCTGGATCCATTGCATGCATCAGAGGTCATGAATCATATCACCCAGGGGAAGGGAGTTTTCAACATATTAATAGGCTTTATATTACTCATTTCAGATTGTGGTAATTTTAATTTGATAATGGTTGGAATCCAATAAGTATTATTTGAATTCTAAGCTGTTATTTGTATAACTGTGTTATTGTTCACTGTCATTATTCTGTAATTGTGTTTATACTATTGCAGGAATTGAAATCAGATGACCTCATCCGCGTTGACAATATAGATTACAACACAAAGTTTTTCATTTTAAGAGCAAAGAGAATTCACAATGGAAAATACACAATCATAGCCAAGAACTCTGTTGGTGAAGATCGAGTTGATTTTGACATTGCTGTTCTTGGTAAGTAACAAAGCACTGTTCAGGACAGTTTGTATAAGTATCATGACAGTAGGATTTGACATTTTCCCTGATGATGGAGACGGCAAGAACCTCTTAAACATTGGTAAACTTCTACCAGACTACATGGCACTACAATCCAGATGACAATCATCTTCCACGTAGGATGAGAGACTATCTGAATAGCTGAACTACAATTTCAGCTAAGAAGAAAAGAAATTAAAGGAAAATACAGAAAATATTATTATAAGGATGTTGTTTAAATATTTTAATTAAATGTATGAGCTTAATAAAATATAAACTTAATTGTGAGTAATCAGATACAAAAGAAGTCAATTAAATTTCAGTTGTAACATGTGTTTTCTGTTCCTTTTATTTTCAGGTAGACCAGGAAAACCAAAGGGCCCCATAGAGGCAACTAATGTTACAAAGAATGGCTGTAAACTTAATTGGAAGAAACCTGATGATGATGGTGGTGTACCCATTGAATATTACGAAATTGAAAAGCTGGATCCTCTCACAGGCCAGTGGATCCCTTGTGCTAAATCCACAGAGCCAGAAGCTAACATTGGAGGTTTACAGGAGGGGAAACCTTATAAATTCCGTGTGAAGGCTATAAACAAAGAAGGAGAATCAGAAGAACTGGAACTTGACAAGCCTATCATTGCCAAGAATCCATTTGGTAATAACACTACTTCTGCATTTCATGTAAAAAGTTCCTGTTTATTCCATTTCCTTGGATGTTTTATTTTGTTCCTTATTCTGTTTCTCGTCTACACCCTGCTTTTAAAGATTATATTTTCCATTTTTACATAATAAGTTAAAAGTATGTTATATTTAATATTGCATTGATTTTTGCCACCTTAAAGTATTCTTATATTCATCCATATACCTGCATCATCTTTAAAACAAAAGATGTTTTTGCAGAATAAACTTCTTTCATACTGTGATACAACAAGAATATTGCTCCACTGTCAAACATTTTGTGGACATTTGATTTATTTTTTATCTAAGATGAACCAAGCAAACCTGGAAGACCAGATGCCAAGAACTGGGACAAGGACTTTGTTGATTTGGAATGGGCAGCTCCAAAGGATGATGGTGGAGCACCAATTGAAAAATACATTATTCAGATGCGTGACAAAGAGGGTAGAGCTTGGGTTGATGCTGCAACTGTCCCTGGAAACAGGTAATGCCTTTTCTGTCTATAAATAATGATTGAGGTTAGGTTGAGTTGGTTTTCTGCTACTGTTTTAACAGTTTTTTAATGTGTACGATATAAGAGTGATTACTTAGGATGTATTACAACAATTATTTCCTGTATTAAGTTGTAAGGATTACAAGATTTACATTTTTAATTACCTGCATTGCTGTGTTAACAGTGTTTGATATTTATTTTAGATAACTGGTTCTTTCTAATGTTAATGTATAACAAAGTATGTTTCATGTGAGAAGAATACTGACAGTATAAAAGTAAAGTACACATCTATAAACTTGATAAAATTCCAGATTTTTCCCTGTGATATATAATCTTGATTGTCTCTTCATTACAGAACTGCAGGGAAGGTGACCAATGTTCAAGAAGGACATGAGTATGAGTTCCGCATTATTGCAGTTAATAAAGCAGGGCCTAGTGAACCCAGCGATCCCTCTAAGTCAGTTGTTGCTAAACCTCGCTTCTGTGAGTGTAATACTTTATCATAGATTTGTTTTACTTTTATGTGATATAAAATTTCTAAGTCTGAATATGAAAGTTTGCATTATTGAACTAAATATTTAATGGATACACTACAATTAAGGGTCATAAAGTAACTTCTTGCAGATAAGGACTGTGATATTCTATTCAGAAACCTAATACACTTTACGTAATTTTGGCTTTTGTGGATAAGCCGCTTCAAAAAACAAAGTTACACATTGTACTCCAGAGATGAAAACGTAAGGACAAGACTGTAATGCAGTTTTACTTTTACCAAGGAAGAAAATAATATTTGAGAGAAATTTCACATTTTCGCACTGCAAATAAAAACATTTGTTCTAGTCCACTGTATAATTTTTAATTAACTTCTTTAATTTAAAAGCATTACTAAATATATCAACGTCTTATGTTGTGAAAACTAAAGAAACTTTGATTTAATATTAATATTGACAATGACAAAGAAGTTTAATAAGCATTATGAAATGAAGTAAAGAACATGCAAGGGGGTGAGGAGGATAATTGAGGAAAGTAGAATTCCTTTATTCCTTGGACACATGTACTTGCTATTTATTGTCTGTTTCTACTGCCAGTATGCATTTCTGAAATGATATATTTTTCAGTGGCTCCATACATTGACCGCAAAAATCTGCAGAAGAAAGTTGTTCGAAGTGGACAGTTATTGCGTATTGAAGCTGATGTCAAAGGTGAACCTCCACCAACCATTACTTGGACACTGAAGGATGTGGTTCTCAAATCACTGGACAGGTGAGATGAACTGTCATAAGTCTTTTGAATCTACATTAGGTAGAAGGAAAACTAGCTGAAGAAGATTCACTGTTTTATTTTGGACTTTCTTATTTGATTTTGTGTCAGTTAGTATTTGAACTATTAGGAAAGAAGTTCTGTATTTTAAATTGCACAGACATCACACTAACATGTAATATACAAAACCAAAATATAAAATAATACTTATTGCGTACTGTATAAAATAGCATTTAGTGAGCTTCAGGAACTGCAGTGTATTTCCCCATTTCCTTTTTTGTATATGTGTCATGTGGAATATGTTTGATGTAAAGATGTTAATTAACTATGAATGGACAAAGAAGTGGGTGGATTTGTACATTGAGGTTTCATCACATAATTTAAAATTACATATATAACAACAATTTTTTTTTTAAATAAATTTCTCTATTTTAAGGTTCTAGGATTGGAATTAGCCCCTTATATCAGACCAAACAGAACAGGTTTTTTCACTTGAAGACAGGAGCTTAGCCAACTCCTGAAACATACTGGTCTCATTTTAGAATACTGAATGATAAATATAGTCCATAAAAACAGCTGTATTAAATATAAACCATTATTTTCTGAACAAAACACAATTCTAAATGTTTATAATAATTTGTCTTACAGGTTGAAGATTGAGAATGAAGATTACAAAACTACATTCATCCTTACAAAAGTAAAGCGATCAGATACTGGCATATATGTTGTAACAGCAAAGAACAGCTCTGGCACTGATCAAGTTGAAGTGGAGATTTCAGTGCTGAGTATGTTGAGTAAAACTAATTTCATTTTGAGAAATATAATTGCTATACATACATGTCAGAAGTGGGCATGCAATATAGAGATGGATAAATTGTATTTGGCAGGAATATGTCATTTTATAATTTTTTATAAAAATTAATTAGTCAAGTACAATGATGTTGGACTTTGTTTTGTAAATATCTCATTTTAATTAATTGCACCCAACACCACTTCATGAAAATAATTTGTTAATCACAGGCAAGCCTAGCAAGCCAAAGGGACCATTAAAAGTATCAGATATAACAGCTGAAGGCTGCAAGCTGAAGTGGGAAAAACCAGAGGATGATGGCGGAGAACCGGTTGACCATTATGTTATTGAGCGCATGGACACAGAGACTGGACGTTGGGTCCCAGTTGGAACAAGCAAAACACCAGAAGCTGACGTGTGTAACATATTAGATTTTCTCACTAATTTACAGCCATAAGTATAAATAAAAGTACATAATAAGACTAACAAAATTAAATACCAGTTGATACATTCAGCCCTCATGCCCTTTAGTACTATTTTGAGATAAATCACACTCTGACAAGGTACAGCATGCTCTCATATGTCAATGAAAAGATTAAAATTTGTTCTATGTTAATAGAGGACTTAAATCTCTATAGTGTGGATCTGAAGGAAAGACGTTATTTTGTTGTAGGTGTCTGGTCTCAATGAAGGAAAGGAATATCAGTTCCGTGTGAAGGCAGTGAATGCTGAAGGAGAATCAGAACCACTTGATACTGATGTCCCAACATTGGCCAAGAATCCATACTGTAAGTTCAAAATAATTTTATGAACACCTGGTGAAGAATCTCATATTTAGCTTCTAAACATCACTTCCAACCAGAATATTATTAATAATCAGATTTTAGTTTCACTTCAATATCTTGTTGCCAACAGGCTGATGAAAAAATTCAAAGCTACTTAATTTATGTTAGTATTAAATGCAGAAATGCAATTTCTTGGAGTCTCTAAATCGAGTTTATCTCGGTACCATAAACCAAAAAATGTATTCAAATAATCCGAAATTTATTTAATATACATGGTTGATACAGATAATACACTGACAGCTTTCACTTGAGATGCGTACTAATAATTAATGCATTATGCCGTATCGCATCACACATAATTATTCGAATCATAATTTATGTAACAACCACCACCACTTCTGTTTCATATAACGATTGAAAATTGATGACTTTCCTACGAGGCACGTATATAACAAGCGCTATATGTTACAACGTCCGTCGTTATGAAGTCTAAAATCAATACTGGTAGTCGTTTGTTTACCGTTGAAAGCATTGGTCATATACAACTTTTCCTGCAACTTTGGGAAGATTCATGGAGGATAGCTGGCTCAAAGCCAACATTTTGAACTGTTACCTCCTGAATTATATTTATTGCATTTCATATTCATCATTCTGTAAACAGTAAATGAAGTGCTTCCACCACAAACTTGTATACATACATCATTCAAGTCAAATTATATTTTCCAGGTGAACCTGACAAGCCTGGGAAACCAGAAGTTAAAGACTGGAACAGGCATCAAGCTGATCTCAAATGGGCCCCACCCAAGTCTGATGGAGGTGCTCAGATTACATCATACATTGTTGAAAAGAAAGACCAGTACAGGTAGATTAAACAGATCATAATAAAACATTGTTTTGGATCTTAGCCATGATTGTGGAAGGTTTTCCCCAGGGGGTAGAATTGCCATGGGGTGGCCTAGCCCTGTATGTGACTAAACCCCTCAGGAGCAGCCCTGATCTTCCCAAGGCCTGAGCAATCTGACCTGAGATGGCAGAAATGAGAGGTTTAAACTCAGCAAAGACGAGGACTTTGAGGGATGAGGGAGGGGAGAAATCTATGGGATTTTCCATTTGGTTTTAGCCCTGCTGAAATGGCCTAACTCCATGTGTGGTCAGGTTCATGGTTGACAGTCCCAGTGGCAGTTTAACCTGTCATGGTTGAAGCACTGCATGAGCAAATTAATGGGTTTTGAAATCCCTGAGGGGATACGCACAAGAGAGGAACCCTGCAGGTAAAGTACCTGAAGCAACAAGTACAGGGACCAGGCCCAGGGAGGAACCATACTGGGGAATATCCTGTGAGTTAAAACATGTGTAGTGCTCTTAATTGTGTGCACTATTATGCATAATTAAGAGCACTACTGTGAATGATTACAGTGTATCTCCCATCTCAAAAGTTTTAATGTTTTCAATATTCTATTTTTTGATAGCAGGGAATTGAAGATATGGTGGTGGGGTGACATCAAGTAGAATGATCTTATGTAATGATTTTTTTTCAAACTTAATTTAAAATTTTATGCTGTATGATGTCATTATCATGAATTATAAAGGAAGAAACATGAATTAAATTACACATTTGTAATTAATTTCCAGTTCTAAATGGCAGAAAGCTGTTGAGGTCATTGGAAACAAGTGTGAAGCAAAAGTTCCTGATCTGGTTGAAGGGATGAAGTACCAGTTCAGAGTACGTGCTGTCAACAAAGGCGGTCAGAGCAAACCAAGTGATCCTAGTGATACCATCACTGCGAAAGATCGCTTTGGTAAGTCTGACATGCCATCAGCAATCTTTATCGTTTGAGTACAGGGAATTTAACCACCAAATTAGGAGGCTGCTGGCCAGGTTTTAAATACAGGGCTTAATGATTTGACTTATAATTTTATAATATGCCAAGATACAAGGTGGCATGATTGATGATTTATGTGTACTCGAAAAACATGTCCTCAGTATTTCAGTTAAAGTCTGCTAAATATATAATCTGCATTGCCTATAGTTGCTTTAGGCAAGGAAATATTGTTCAAACTTTTGTTCTAAATAATGATGTAACTGTATTTACACAAGTTGCACATATTGAAACTGCATAGTTTGCACAAAATTTTCTTGCTGTGTTGCACAAGGTGACATGATACATTTTTTCAATGCTCTAGTAGAGTAAATGTTTATTATATTTTTTAATAATATAACCTTAAAATGTGTCCTGTGCTATAGTGAAATATTAGCAGCAAAACAAAATAATGATAATCTCTGTTTCTTGTTATTATATGATCATTATATTATTAATGCAAATGTACTAATTTAATGATGATAATTTTTTAAACAGATGTATTGAAAAGTACTTCATATATGAATCTTAAATAAGAAAATATGACTGTAATTATTTCAGCTGCTCCACGTATTGATCGCAGTACACTGAAAGACATGACAATAAAGGCTGGACAGAATATTCGATTTGATGTCAAGATCAGTGGAGAACCTCCTCCAAGCAAGTCATGGTTCCTCAACAAGGCTCGTCTTGATTCTAAAGATGACATTACCATTGATAATGAAGATTACAAGACAAAACTGGTTATCATGCCTGTGTCAAGGAAGCATTCAGGCACATATGTTATCAAAGCTGAAAACAGCTCTGGAAAAGATGAAGTTGCTGTTGAAGTAACAGTACTTGGTATGTTCTTTTCATTTTTAACATCACTACTATCACCATCAACACGACAATTTGTTTTATTGTTTTTTCTGTCATCATTATCATTTGTTATCATTAATGTCACTATTTTTACAGTATACTCCCAATTAATTGTGCATCAGTATAAGCATAAATTATTTTTTATAACCACTTGCTTTCTCTGCTTGGATTAGAACTCTTTTTTAGAACATTGTAATGGAAGGACAAATACAGTTCTCAAAAATATTATACTCCTTCCATTTTTGTTGCCCTTGATGTTACAGATACTGATTCTGCCCTCTCTAAAATTACTGAGTTATGTGATTTCACAGAAATACAGAATGTTCCATTAGTTCAAGGCCATCAGAGAACTCTGTTATTTGGTAAAATACAGAAAATTATAAAGAAGAAAAGTTATTTGAAATCACGTGTTTCCAATCCCAAGTGTTGGAATTTTGTACTTAGAATGAGCTGTTATGGTGCTACACTGTTTACATCAACAGTAAAGTCACAGTGATGCTGCTGCATTGACATGATAGTTCACTAGTCGTTTATACTTTCCTGGTTTTCTTCACTTTGTGCTCCTTGTAGTATATATGCTCTGGAAACACATTCCCCTTTCACTATCATATTAGTGTATAAACATCGCTATAACCTTTTACTATAGATAGTGTAAAGTGTGTAGCACTCCAACAATTTGACCTAGGTTAAAAATCCTGATTAGAATTTGGACTGGACTTCATCTAAAACAAAAGTAGAGTGGAAATTTTTCAAAAACATATTGTATAATACAAAAATAAAGCATCTATACCCTTAAGTAGTATTTACTTTTTAACACTATTTTTAAATGCTCTCCAAATTCAGAATTTCTCTTATAAACTTGTGAATCATGGTTTGTGAAATATCTCCTTATTTCAGGCCCAGAAATACATTGGTACTCTGATGCAATTATCTTACTATTGGTCTAGATAGATAGTATGAAAACTGGTCACATATTATTAATTTACATCATGTCATAAATTTGGAATTTTGTTCTTAAATTACTTTGGATAATATCCAGTTGTAATTCTTTCTGAAAAATCAAAGTATTTTAATATGTGCACAGATAAACCTGGCAAGCCCGAAGGACCTTTGAAGATCTCTGATATTCACAAGGAAGGTTGTAATCTGAAATGGAATGCCCCTGAGGATGATGGTGGTTCACCAATAGAACATTATGTTGTTGAAAAGATGGACACAGAATCAGGTAAATGTGTTTTGTCACATTAAAACTGGTTCATTCTGCAGTTTCCTAATAGTTACAACTATGACCTCAAGAGAAAATGAAAATATACTTAACTGACCTCTGCAACAAAATTCCTATTCATCAGGATATTCATAAAAGTAAATGGCATTGTAACTGCCCATATTATGAATATAATTTTGACTCTTTTACTCAACATGTTCACGTCATGTCAGATTTTAAAGCATGGTGTGGAGTCTACTATAAAAGTAAGTCAGCCTGAAAATTATTATGTTATGTTGTAGTAATTCTCATATCAGTTTTGAAGCTCATTCATAGGAAGAATATTTCTTATAAGTCAAAACTTCATTACAAAATATTATTTGTCTTTTAAGTTATACCAAATTCTAGGTAGCATCATATTAAGTGGTGTCCATTTGCAGAATCTTAGGGTTAATGTGAGGTTGGTAAGTAAGTAGTCTAAAAATAAAATTTAAAAAAGATTTTAGTATATATTTATGCAGCCAAGGAATTTTGTACTTAAGAATTACTTCGTGAAAGATTTCAAGAAATTATAAGTTGAAAGTTAAAATTTGAGAAACATCTGTCTGATATGAGGAATCATTTTGAATAATATATAGACTATCAAAAACAACACAGTGCATTTGAAGAACCGGTGGTACTGAAACTGATTCTGATATTGGAACTGACACAGGGCGGTGGCTCCCAGTCGGTCGTTCAAAGGAGCCAAAAATGGAAGTTGAGAACCTCCAGCCTGGTCAAGAGTACAAATTTCGAGTGATGGCTGTCAATGCAGAAGGAGAATCAGAACCACTTGATGCTGACAAGTCTATCATTGCAAAAAATCCATTTGGTAAGTGGCATGTGTGTGTCTATGAACACAAAAAATAAATTCAAAGAATGTAAAATTATATATAAATTTAAGAAATAGGTCTTTAAATAAATGCACAGGTTTGTAAATATGTTACAGTGTTTCATTACTATACTCAGAACCATATCACATGTAGAACTGAATAATAAACATTTTTAAATTATAGTTTCTTTAGGAATTGATTAATATTTCAGTGCATATGCTCCATTATGAAATTAAAATGCTTCTGTGGGACTGAATGAAAATAATATTTGATTGCAAACTAACAAAACTGGAGATTTAAAACATTTTGAGGTTAAACTTTGTTCCATTTTCTGGTATAACACTTTTTCAGGGTAGTCATTTCCTTCTCAAGGTACAACATAGGACCATAAAATAATAGTTCTCCCACTTTAACTATAGTTTGTTTGTATTGCCTCTTTTAAGATGAACCTGATGCTCCGGGCACTCCTGAAGCTACTGACTGGGATAAGGACCATGTAGATCTGAGATGGACTCCACCAGCAAAGGATGGTGGATCTCCAATCACAGGATACGTGATTGAAAAACGTGAAAAAGATTCCCCGCGCTGGACAAAAGCTGCTGAAACAAAAGGATCTGACTGCAAAGGACGAGCAGAAAACTTGGAAGAAGGTGTGACATATGAATTCAGGGTTCGTGCAGTTAATGCAGCTGGACCAGGTCAACCAAGTCAAGCCAGCAAACCCATTACTGCCAAACCAAGGAAGTGTATGTATTCTGATACCAATGAAGGAATTTGTAATGTTGCAGTAATTAAGTAAATCCTAACTGGGGACATATGAACACTCAGTTTTTAAACTCTTGACAGTATGTCTTGTTTTGGGTTCTGTTTTGAGTCCAGAATTCAAAAAGATGCCCCCCTTGTCACTGATTTATATATGCTTGAATAAGTACACTTGTGCTGAACTTATGTTCATAAAGTATAATGCAGATGTCTGTTACCTAACTTATTGTTGAGACGGGTTTAAAGTGTTCACAATGTTGAGTATGAAGATGGCTGTCTTCTGGTTTGTAGCACTGCAGCTCAGAAGACAGCCGCCTTCTTAATTTGTGAGACAGTTGTGGCTTTTTTGTCCAAATTTGGCACATGTGAAACTCCAGAACTGGTCTTTAAAAAGCTGTTTTTATATTTCAACGGATTCATAAAATCTATTCTCAGAATGATAACTATAATTATATTGGACCATTTTAAAGAATGCTTCCCATGAAACTCAATTTTTAAATGGAGAAGACAGCCGCCTTCTTAATTTGTGAGACAGTTGTGGCTTTTTTGTCCAAATTTGGCACATGTGAAACTCCAGAACTGGTCTTTAAAAAGCTGTTTTTATATTTCAACGGATTCATAAAATCTATTCTCAGAATGATAACTATAATTATATTGGACCATTTTAAAGAATGCTTCCCATGAAACTCAATTTTTAAATGGATTTACAACTAAGAGCTGCAAAAAATACACCTGTTAGCTTTGCCATGCCTGTCTGTTCATTTGTTTATCTGTTCACATTGTATTTAAATTTTCACAGTGGCTCCAAAAATTGACCGCCGCAATTTGCGAGCAATTACAGTACGTGAGGGTGAACCAATTCTATTTGATGTGAAGATAATTGGTGAACCACCACCAGAAGTGACATGGAGTGTTAATAATAAGTCTATCCAAGAAACAAGCTATCGCAGGATAGAAAATGTTCCATACAATTCCAAATTCTTCAATGATAATCCTGAAAGAAAAGACACTGGCATCTACAAAATTCATGCTGTCAACAAATACGGTTCTGATACTGCTGAAGTTGAAGTAACTGTTGTATGTAAGTATGATATATTCTTCCTTTGTATTTTGCATATTGTTGTACAGTGAAAATTTGCTATTGCATGTCCACAATAAAAGTTTATCATGTTGAATACGTATTATTAAAACATAAAAACTGTTACTTTGTTTTAATTTTATAGCTAAACCCGGGAAACCAGAAGGTCCATTGGAAGTTTCTGATGTACATAAAGATGGCTGCAAACTTAAATGGAAGAAGCCAAAAGATGATGGTGGTGAACCCATTGAAACATACTTGGTGGAGAAATATGATCCTGACACTGGAATTTGGTTACCTGTTGGACGAACAAAGGACCCTGAATTGGATGTGCAGGGCCTGATACCTGGCCATGAATATCAGTTCCGTGTTAAAGCAGTGAACAAAGAGGGTGAATCAGAACCACTGGAAACTCTGTCATCTATCATAGCCAAGGACCCATTCAGTAAGTAGTGATAAAATAGTCAAGGCATATGTAGGGATACATACACAGCAAATGATATTGATATAGTTCAGCAGTAGCGATACCAATAATAATATTCGTAATTATAATAACAAATAATTTTTATTACTAATATGTGATATTTGAGGTTTTTACAGTGGTGAGGGTGATTATCATGTTCTGGGTTCTAAAGCTGAAAAGTCTACATAGTACCAAACCCAGAAGAAGATGTTTATCATCGTTATATCTAGTATTTTGATTTCTATCCTCTTGTAACCATTGTTACTTCTTAATATTTTTCAGCTGTGCCCACTGCACCTGGGGCCCCAGAACCAGTTGATTGGAGTCAAAATCATGTTGATCTGATTTGGAAAGAACCTGTATCTGATGGTGGGTCACCCATAACTGGATACATCATTGAGAAGAAAGACAAGTATAGGTAAATGAAGTTACATTCAGTACTATATAAGATTAAATATTAACTGTCCTATGAAGTATTTGGTGCATGAAACTTGTAACATGAAATATTTACTTCAAAGCGATTCTGAATATAGATAAAGGCACCTCAACATGATAGAATGAAATATAAATAAGACAAGATACAGATAAAGTGCTTTTTTTATTGCTTATTATTTTATGGCTATGTGATCTCACACATTATGAATTTCTTGGTTAGATCACTTGTGTAATCTATAGTGTTAGCCTGTAAAATTGTAACTCAGAATTTATCAACAGTTACAATACTGTACAACCTCTGAAGTTGAAACAGCACTATTAAATACATAACTGTTATTTGTCAAAGCTTCTGCAACAGTGATTTAAGCAGTATTCCTAATATTAGAGGTTACAGACAATAATGAAGCTAATGAAGCCAGTTCTTCTCTTCACATATTTGTAAAAAATAAATGAGAGCTCTGTAGAAAAAGAGGTGTAAATTTATTTGACAGGTAAAGATTGTCTACTGAAGGAAATTTTAAATATTTTAAAATATACCGCATAGAGTGAAGTATGTATAGGTTATATACACTGGAAAATATTATAATGAATTTTTTTTTTATTATTAAATCGCTTTAAATCCAGTACGTTTACCTAATGTATATATGTTACAGCGTGATGTGGGAAAAGGCATTAGAGACAGATGTGGCCACCCCACAGGCAGTTGTCCATGGCTTAATTGAAGGCAATGAATATCAGTTCCGAGTGATAGCTGTTAATAAAGCTGGTCAGAGTGAGCCTGGTGAAGCAAGCAAGAACTTCATTGCTAAGCCACGATTCCGTAAGAAATTTATCAAGTCTCTTATAATTCACTTCCTGTTTTATTAAGAATGTTTTATAAATAAATGTTTAACTTATCTACTTCTGTTAGAAATATTTTTAGTGTTTATACCATGTAAATAGGCTGTATGAAAGTTTCTGAACTTTTAATAAAATATTTCAATTTGTTTCAGTTGCTCCAAGAATTGACAGGCGCAATCTTCGTGATGTTACCATTTCAGCTGGGTCTGCACTAAAATTTGATGCTAATATTATTGGAGAACCTCCACCAACAGTGGAATGGAGATATGGAGCTATTCCACTTAGGTACATCTGGATTATTTAAAACTGTTTCCTTTATTATTAAAAATATGAGTGTAACAAATGTTAATATTCATTTAAAGTAATTCTAGCTATTAGTCTATGTCATTATCATATTGTCCATTAGTAGAATTATTAACATGAATTGATGGAACTTGCCTCAAGTTTTGACTTATGCTGTTATACTCAACATAATTCAAGAACGATTTTAAATTTTGTACATGTAGTACCTTTTATCTAATTTTATAATTGTCTTTCTCTACATGCTGTCCAGGAGTATTTTTTATCTTTCTCTACATGCTGTCCAGGAGTATGTAATCAGTCATTACATTTTCTTTTTTGATGCACTTTAGTGTTCACCTTTGATATATTTGCTTTTGAATATTTTATTCAGATCTTCAAAGACTGTGCAAGTAGACAATGTTGACTATAATACCAAACTAGTGATACGTCCAGTACAGCGAGGAGACTCTGGTGAATACACTGTCACAGCTTCTAACAGTTCTGGAAAGGACACTGTCACTGTCAATGTTGTTGTCACTGACAAACCTACTTCACCAGAGGGTCCACTACAGGTACTTCAGAAGTTACTACATTAAAATTAGGTTGAAAAATGTTAATTGTATCCCAGCAGTGTTTGTTTTGTGCAAGATTTAGAAAGTCAGTCCTTGTTGCTTTCACTGGAAAAAATTACAATAAATTCATACCTAGGAATCCTCCTTCTGCTACCACTTCTTGTGGAAAGCAGAATGAGTCAGTATAACAAATTATATGTGATTTCGTTCTCATGGCAGTTAAGATATCTGTGTAGGTCTTCTGGTTTCTAACACTGTACAGACTTGTAGGTAGATAACTAATGTTTTGGAGAAACATACTGCCTCTAAAATTCTGGTATCTACCTACAAGTCCATCCAGAAGACCAGTATTAATAGTGTAAGAAATTAATTCTTTCATGACAGAACCAATAAAAGAAACTGATTTTTAGACAGGCATTATTTTCTTGCTTTATTACTTGTGTTAATAACTAAAATTAAGATTTTATTTTGTGTTCTACTAACATAATGTCAGATGTTTTATTTTGTGTTCATTGTTTTAGGTGTCAGATGTGCACAAAGAAGGATGCAAACTTAAATGGAAGCGTCCAAAGGATGATGGAGGCACTCCCATTGAGTACTACCAAGTGGAGAAGATGGACCCAGAGACCGGGTGTTGGGTTCCTTGTGGTCGTTCAACTGAACCAAGTTAGTGACCGTTTACAACCAGAAATCATACATTTATATACTTTCGACTTACATGAAAGTAATAAACAATATGAAAAATATGATTACCCAGATTCATGTAACTTCAATATTCACATCAATTTCTGGTATATTGTGTAAAGTATATAGACCAAGGATCACAGTGCTTGTTTAAGTTATTGAAAGTGCTGTTTTATTTTAACATGCTTTTATATCTTAAAATTATTACATATTAAATAAATAACTAACACTTTATCATATCACATGTTAATTCTACAGCTATCCTGTAATCCATACTGCACATCCTTGATTATTATACTTTTCCATTTTACTTATTGGGTTAATATGTTAGAATTAATAAATTTTAAGATCATTTACATGCAGCTTTTGTTACCTTTCATACATTCACTCTCTAAAGCCATTGATTACTTCTGTTTGTGTTTTATATTTGATGGTAGTAATAATGAAACATTGTTTTTCCTAGACATGGAAGTTACTGGTCTGACTCCAGGCAAGGAATATAAATTCAGAGTTGCTGCTGTAAATTCTGAGGGTGAATCTGAACCACTTGAAGCTGATCAAACTATTGTTGCCAAAAATCCATTTGGTAAGGAAATATGTAACATAAGTAGGTTTATTTTATAGATCTGTATTTAGTAAAATAGCAAAGTGGACATTGCACATCTCTGTGTTTCTTTCTTATAGATGAGCCTGGAAAGCCTGGGAACCTTCAAGCTACAGATTGGGATAAAGATCACGTTGATCTCAAATGGACACCACCAAAGGAAGATGGTGGCTCTCCTATTACTGGTTATATTGTTGAAAAGAAGGATAAGTATGGTCAATGGGAGAAAGCCCTTGAAGTTCCTGCTAGTCAGACCACAGCTACTGTTCCTGATCTAATTGAAGGGCAACCTTATGAATTCAGAGTCCGAGCTGTGAATGCTGCAGGGCCTGGTGAACCTAGTGATGCTACACCCACAATTATAGCCAAACCACGTAATCTTGCACCAAAGATTGACCGCACAAACCTCATTGAAGTACGAATAAAAGCTGGACAAAACTTTGGTTTTGATGTCAAAGTGTCTGGTGAGCCTCCTCCAGAAACTAAGTGGCTCATACGTGGAAAGGAAGTGAAGTCAACAGACAGAATCAAAATACAGCATGCAGAGTACAATACAAAACTGAATGTCCGTTTGGCAACTCGAGCAGAGTCAGGAAGATATACTATTACAGCAGAAAATGTCAATGGAAAAGATACTGCTGAAGTGGATGTGATAGTCTTGGGTAAGTTAATACAGAGAATAAAATAGACACTATACCATATAAGAATATATGATGAAGAGTAAATATGATTTATTATAGGAGCTGAGTAAGGAAGAGAATGTTACTGCCTTGGGTTTACAGCGGGTTCATCATTTGTTCTTAAATTATGTACTGTGAGGTTTATTAAATATAATCCTTTCCATACCTGTGGTGGTCACAATCTATTTCTCATTTCTTTATATGTATTTATATATATTGAGATTCTGATGCTGAGCAGTGTGATGAATACATGAATTTAGATTTGCCCCTGGAAAAACTTTGAAGTTGTCTCATGAAGTGGGTGAGGGAATTGACTCTATATTTTGACTCTTTGTGAAGAATAATTCATAGTTAAATTCATATGTCTGCATTAATTACTTTGCCAAAAACATGTAAGGAAATTACAGCTTTCTGCTTACTCTTCAGACAAACCAAGTCCACCTGGAGGACCCCTTAAAGTGTCTGATGTCCATGCTGAGGGCTGCAAGCTTAACTGGAACCCACCAGCAGATGATGGTGGACAGCCAGTAGATAAATATGTTGTGGAGAAGATGGATGAAGCTTCAGGTAAATTCTTGGTCCTAAAATTGAACCTGTAGCAACCAGTTACATATCAGATCATTAACTGTCCTGAGAATATCAAAGAATAATGAATCTCAAAGTAAACTTAAAACCATTAAATTATAATAAAATAATAGCTTATTTGCCTGAGAATTGACTTGGCTATAGTCTGTGTGACTTATGTCAATACATTTGTTTTCCATTTCAGGCCGGTGGGTACCTGCAGGTGAAACTGATGGTCCAGTCACAAGCCTGGATGTTGATGGTCTGCAACCAGGGCATAAGTACAAGTTTAGAGTGAGAGCAGTGAACAAACAAGGAAAATCAGAACCACTTACAACAAGCCAGGCCATTGAAGCTAAAAATCCATTTGGTAAGACATAATTCTGATAAGATGATTTCTTTAAAAATTGTTTGGCCCGTTAAGTTGGTTTGTAAATTCATAAATTTATTTTTAAGTCACCAGTTTTCAGGGTAATGATGATATTGGTGATAATGAACAGTAAAAGATAACAATGAAACATTCATTCAAAATTATAAACAAATGTTTATTTTAAAGACACAAACTATTTAAAATAAAAAATTAGTTGTTAACAAAACAGTATAATACCATGCAAAGAAAAGTAGCTATATAAGACACTCCCAAGACTGAGATTATCTTATCCAGTTCATGCGTGTGGTTTGCTTTATGCAAATTCTGTATGCATACCATGACAACTGCTAAGACATCAGTTGCAATATTCTTTGTTGTGTTGTAGATGGTCATGACAATTTCAGAACAACATATTATTTCCAAGGTAACACTGAATATCTGTGTATGTGTATGTATTGAATTGTATGATCATCTAGGCACTAAATATATTGTATCTGGCTTCCAAGTAGGTGGAAGTCTGTTTCTTTAAATGTGTTATTTTAAGTATATGTGTTCTAATTATTTCATCTCTTCACTTTCCATTCCTTAAAGCCCATGCTTTCCAGAACAGGATTTCATTAATTTAAATTGCGTAGTAATGTTCAATGTTGTACTATTGAAATTTATGTATTTCACAGATCAGCCAAGTAAGCCTGGCACTCCAGAAATAAAGGATTATGATAAAGATTTTGTGGAACTGCAGTGGGCAAGACCAAGTGAGGATGGAGGATCACCGATCACAGGCTACATTATTGAGAAGAAAGATAAATTCAGGTGTATTTTCATTGTGCTTTTATTTTTATAAATTTTGTATTTTATGTGTATTTTCGTAGAAGTACTGTGTAGAGGCTACTGTCCAAGTCTCATATTTTGGATTATTAACATTCACTGTTGAATATCAGCCATCACCTAGAATTTTTATTGAAATCTAGAATTTTTCCAAATTTACTTGAAAATGTATTACTGAGTCTCAGAAATCACTATATGAAGATGGCAAACAATGTTTAAACATTATATTAAGTGTATTTAAAATAATACACCTCTGTACTGATACAGCATGCTTTGTTTATGTGTGATATTTTAAGTATATTTTAATATTGTGATTGTAATCAGTCAATTTAATTAATGTTTCTTTCAGTCCAAACTGGGATAAGTGTGCTGAAGTTAAAGGTGATGTGACTACTGGAAGGGTTCCTGACCTTATTGAAGGTAATCAGTATGAGTTCAGAGTCCGAGCTGTGAATAAAGCTGGACAAGGTGAACCAAGTGATGCCACAAAGCCACATATTGCCCGTCCCAAAAACTGTAAGTATGCCATATTTATTTTCAGGAATTTACTTAAAGTACAGTCTCTTTATAACAGATAATGGTAATTATTTTCCATTACAGTGCCTCCTCGAATTGATCGTAATGCCCTGATTGATGTGAAGATCAGGGCTAGCCAGAACTTTGACTTTGATGTACCAATTAGTGGCGAACCACCACCATCAAAGGAATGGACAGTGAAAGGAAATTTTATCATCAATACAGATCGTATAAAGGTTGTGAATGAGAATTACAACACCAAACTTCGTGTGATTGATGCCAAAAGAGGTGACAGTGGAACATACACTCTCACTGCCAAGAATATCAATGGTATTGACACTGCAATAGTCAATGTTACTGTGTTAGGTAAGGATAAAGTTATCCACTTTTTATTTTGCATCTTTAATGTAGACCTCTATAGTGGTTTATGAGCATTTGATTATTTTAATTGTGGCATAAGCTTTTGTTTTAACAGCTCTTCATTTGTTTTTGCTTTGTTTTTTTTTAAATGGCCTGATACTGAGAGTTTGGTGGCTTTCAACAGAATTGTCTTTGTTATAGATATACCACAACCTCCTGAAGGCCCACTGAAACCAGAAAATGTTACGAAGTCTTCTTGTTCCCTTTATTGGCGTCCACCTAAAGATGATGGAGGTTCTGAAATTACTCATTATGCAGTGGAAAAATTGGACACAGAAAACATGCGATGGGTTCCTGTTGGTGATGTCACTGGCACATCAATACGGTAGGATCATAAGTAGACTCATATTTGGTAGTTCAGTTTGACAATTTTTTAATTATATGAATAGTGGTGTTCTTACAGAAAACACTGTATAGCAATTATTTTGGTCTCTCAGATTGGTGCTCTGATGACTAGGTGATGAAATTGTTTTACATTCTAAATAGGGTGGACCATTTGATTGAGGGCCATGACTACAATTTCCGTGTGAGAGCAGTAAATAAACAGGGTGAATCCCTGCCCCTCACAGGTCAATCACCAATTACAGCTAAAGATCCCTTCAACAAACCTGATAAACCAGGCACACCAGAACCTGTGGGTAAGCTTACAATATGAACTAGATTTTGAATGTACAAAGAAATGTTCGGCATATTCTGACATGCTTTTTTCAAATTCTATTTCATGAGGACATTTGTCATAAAACTTTTGTATTAGATATTCTTTTATGATAAGTTACATGATAATACCATTGATTAATAATGAAACATGCATCTTCACATTCTGTAAGAAAATACATTGCCAAATATCATTCACATAACAATGCTTCTTCTTATAATTTATCTTCCAGACTGGGACAAGGATCATGTGGATTTGGAATGGACTCCACCCAAGAAAGATGGAGGATCTCCTATAACTGGATACATTATTGAGAAGAGGACTAGATTTGGGTAATGACTGTATATAGCACATGTTTTAGATTATTATTATATGAAATTTATTTGTTTTTGCATGACCATTGGTTAACCTTTGACATACCAGAATAGGGAATTTAAACCCATTCTGGTATAGGGCTGCTGGGTGGACTTAACTCTGGAACTTAATGTTTAAGAGGTGATGGAATGCACAAGTGATAAAATTTAATATATTTGCTCAGTAATGACTTTGTCTTCAATCCTGTGGTTTAATATATGTCAGAATTATACCTCCACTCTGATTTGGGGTGTTCCTAATAAACACATACCTAGCATGTACCAGATAGAACAGCTTCATCGCCCTGATGACGGAGGCAGTATGACCTCTGAAACGTTTGTTAACATCGACCAGACTACACAGCGCAACAACCCAGAAGACAGAAATCTTCAGCTTTTATTTACTTTGCCAGACCCCACCTCATATACAATTTTGTGCTGTTAATAGCTTCAGTAGTAAAAAAAATCATGGTCATGACAGTCCTCATAAATTTACATATTCTTATATAAAATGACACTAATGTTATTATAATACACAGGGTTAGACAAGTACTCTATTAAATATTTATATTAATTAAATAACATCTAATTAAGTAATAAAGTGCAAGTACTTGGGCACTCTGAATTCTATTATATAGGGAATTTATTATTCATTTGAGTAACCAGGTTCTCATCATGGAGGCCTGGAATCATGCCAGGGGCAGTCCATGTGGGTATATTCTTGACAAATTGGCACAGGGACAGGTTTTTCTCAGAGTTCTTAAGTTTCCTGTTTCACCATCATTCCACAGCTGATCCATGTTCACTCGTGTATCATCTGGGGGTTCGACATTGGTCTTCTTAATGGGTACAGTTGCATGGAGACATAATCTTTTATTTTAATAACAATAACAGTAACAATTATGTATTTGAGTTAGTAATACCTAAAAGTGAATTTTATGTTAATACAGTTAACAATATTCTGACAGTGGCTTTTATGTAACTTGTTAGGTTATGCTCAGTGTTAGAGATATTCTTATTTGTGAGCTGTATTACGTTCTAATGGACACCAAATGTTATGATTAAGCACAGTCTCTAACTTTCTGGGGATTGTGATTCACGTCTCAGTCATGAAACTAGCTGTCTCTACATGTGAGTGCTGTTTTACTTGCTGTCCTAACATATGTATGTACATTGTCAATAGATAAGAAAAACCTAAACAAAATAATAATTATAAAATCTTATATTCTTGCAAACAGTCCATGGGAGGAGGCAGCTGAGGTTCCTGGAAACAAAACGAAAGGAACCTCACCAAATATCACTGAAGGCGAAGAGTACGAATTTCGAGTGATTGCAGTAAACAAAGGTGGC